TTGGCCCAGCTCAGTGCCCTGGGAGTATGACTGGGTCCTCGCCCTGCAAGTCCGGGCTGTGCTCTGTCCCCGAGCCTGAGGAGCCCTGGTCCATGCGGGTCACAGCAGTGAGGCTGCCAGCAGTCTGGGCAGCATCTGCCAACAGCAGGAGGGTCCAGGGTGGGGAAAGGGCTGTGCTGCTGGGCTCAGCCTGGGGTGGCACCAGCTCTCCAGACAGATCTCCTGGGGAGCAGACGTGGGGGAGAGGCTGGCTGGGCCCTGGAGGTGGGGTGTGTAACCCCCCCCCCCCCTTTTTTTTTTTTATTGATTTTACAGAGAAGAAGGGAGAGGGATAGAGAATTAGAAACATCCATGAGAGAGAAACATCGATCAGCCACTTCTTGCACATCCCCTACTGGAAATTGAGCTCACAACCAAGGTACATGCCCTTGACAGGAACTGAACCGGGGACCCTTCAGTCTGCAGGATGACGCTCTATCCACTGAGCCAAGCCCGTTAGGGCCCCTTTTTGATTTCAGCTACGAAGTTCCCGAGCAGAGAGCATTTCCCTCTTAACTGTCTCCTGAATGTTAACATCCATTAAATGGGGAGACGAAAGGGACCTTGGATTGCCCTGGCCCTCGGCTGCAGCTCTGCGGGAGACGTGCATGCGGGGACTGGGCGTGTCAGTCAAGGCCTGTGACTTCCCTGGCCCCAGAGCGAGCCACAGCCTCCTCAGGAAAGAGATAGGGCTGCTCAGAGCTGTGCGGGCATGGGACTCCCCGCCTTCTGGCCCTGCTGCTGCCCATGCCAGCTGCTCCCCTCCCAGCACAACTCCCACTGCGCACCACAGGGCATTCCGGGACAAGACATTTGCTCTGGCCTGACTGTTAGATTTTCAACTACAAAGGCAAAAAGGCCATGGTAAGTTAATAGATAAGGCATCTGTGGTATGTGAGATCTCACAGTGATTTTCGATTTTACTCTTCTTACCCTTCCCTTTACTTACTCCAGGCCGCTGTATTATTCAGGTTCCTCGGAGAAACAGCCAATAGGATAGACAGTTGCCCCTTGAACACTGCGAGGCTTCGGTCACGGACACTCCATGCAGCTGAAATCCTTTATAGTCCCCGGAAGCTTACCTACTGATTGCTTCCTGTGACCAGAAGCCTTGTCCACAAGAGTGATTAACACACAGTGTAAGGCACTCGGCCAAGTGCTGAGCAGGCAGTGGCCAGTAGTTTTCATGGAACTTCCAGTCTAATCAGGGAACACCAGCTTTAAACAAGCTCAAGCATAAGTAAATATATAAAAGTTGAGATAAATATTACCAAAGAAAAGTAAATGCACGTGAGAGAAAATTAAGGGAGAAAAGAATTTTAATTTTTTAAATTTTAACAAGTATTACAACCAATAAGTACAATATATAAGTGAAACAACAAATTGATGTTTCTCTCCCATTCCCTCTCTCTCAAGTCAATAATTAAAATAAAAAAAATGATAAGTATTGATGAGGAAGATGGCATATAAAAGGGTGCAGCCACCTTGAAAAACAATTTGGCAGCCCATCAAAATGCTACACAGAGTAAACCTTTCATTCAGCAATTCAACCCCCTAGGTTTACACCCAAGACAACGAAAACATATGTCTACGCAAAGAACTTCAAGACAAATTTCATAGCAGCATAAGTCATCGTGGCCAAAAAGTGGAATCAGTCCAAATGTTCATCTGGTAAATAAATAAACAAACATAGTAAATCCATCGCATGGATCACTCAGCCTCAGAAGGAATGAAACTCCCATACAAGGTGCAACACAGGTAACGTGGAAAACACACTTTCGTGCTAAATGAAAGCAGTCGTACCCAGGAGTCCACACGCATGATTCCATTTATGCAAAGTGTCCGAATGGGCAAATTCACGGATATTAAAAACATTAGTGGTTGCCCCGGAGCTGAGCTGGGAATGGGGAGTGACTGCTAATGCAGAGGTTTCTTTTGGATGTGAAATATTTTTGATGCATTAATCATAGTTATTTTAAACTTTCTTTCAGGTAACTCTGATATCTGGTCACTTGTAGGTTTGTTCCATTGTCTGAATTTTCTCTTGCTCCCGTTTCTGGTGTGCCTGTTCATACTTAATCCTGGGCATGGGTATTGAACATGCACATGCGGTGCCTCCACATGACATTATTGGCCCTCGTCCCCAGCGGTGATATCGACTGAGAAGAGGCCTTTTTAATTGTGTCAGTGGCGGCAGGCCCTCAGGTTGAGCGCCAAACGCTGTAGGAATTGATCTGCCCCTGGTGCACCCCTCTTCTAGACTATTCTTCCAGCCCAAACCTGTAGCCGTTACCGAAGTGTGTCTTCCTATGTGGGTCAAGAACTACACCATTTATTTTCCTGACATACGAGTCTCTGACAAATTGCATTTCAGATGCTTTGCTTGATTTCTTGGCTCGAAGCCCTGTGCTGTGAGCAGCAGGCAGGCAGCTGGGGACTGGGAGGAAACAGGTGCTGTGGGTCGACTTTTCTGCACTCACGTACTTTTAGGGGTTAGGACCCCTCACGTTGTCATGGCAAGCTAGGACCCCCCCTCCCCCCCTCCCTCCCACCCCATTCCCCGAGGCAAGCTAGTCCCCCAGCCTGTCTCCTCCGAGCAGCGCAGCCTAGTGCAGAGCGCTCTGATCCACACCCAGAGGCCCCCTCAACCTCCTGCGGTGGATTGAACACTCTCCCCGGCTGGGGACACTGCTCCCCACAGAGCTTGGCTTGCCCCGGGCCGTGGACTACCTCTCCTGGTGTTTAAAACCAACTTTTTGTTTGTTTTGCTCTTTTGATTTATTTTATTTTGAGTTGCCCTCGGTGAGAGCCTTGGTCTGCTATGGGCCACTCTGTCCTAGTTGAAAGCAGAAGTTCTCTAGAGCTTATATTTGGATGCAACACTTCTTAGTTTTTCCACTCCAGCAGAATGCCATCAGGTTTTCATAAAAATATGCCCGCAAGTTTGCATTGAGAAGGCTAAAAAGGGCTAATTCCAATTTAACCCTGATATCTGGGGGATATTGATCTGAATCCATGCCAGCAAGCTCAGTGTACATTCATGATAACCTATAATTAAATCACCTCTTTCCCAGAAACTGGTTTTGCAGAACCTGTTACTGTGGAGGGAGGGTTATTAACGCTGGTGCCATACCATCCATCAGATATGGCCTGGAGACCCCCAACACCTGGGGGCCTTCTTGCAAAGCCTGAGGAAAGGACCCGAAACATAATCCATGTTTGCGGGATAAAGACCACAGGGAGCTTTAAAGGAAAGCCCCATGTATATTCCTTCACTGAGATTTGGAAGGCTGTTCCCTGAGTCCGCCGGTGTATTAAACAGTGTCCCTCCTCTTCTTTGAAGCCTCTTTGGTTTTCCTTGATCTGCAACACCATCTCACTTCAGTCTCCTGGAGTCCCTCCACCCCAGCCCCGGGAGTGGTCCTACTGTGGGATGTGCTGTGAGAGCCAGCAGCTTCCGGCTACAGGGCGGGCACTGGCCGGCCTGAGGAGGCCAGCAGCCGGGGTTCAGGAGCTGAGCCCAGCTGAAGCAGGATTACAGAGGATTGCAGTTGGGGAAGGGAATTGAATGTGGCAGCACAGGCAAGTCGGGGATGGCAGATATGACCCCACGCTCCAGGGTCAGGGGGTACCCTGGGAAAGCATGGCATCCGCCTGTGTTCAGATGGGGACACTGAGATGCAGGGGAACCCAGAACGTTAGCATCTGGGCTCAGGTCTGCTTTCCTTCTGCCCCAGGAGCCGACCTGCTCTCAGGGCCTGGGTCCTGTGTGCACCCAGGGCTGGAGAGGTCTTGTTTAGTCCCAGGGAGAGCCAGCTTGGCAGAGGATGGAGGCTACAGCCTCAGTGGGGAGGAACAGGGCTGAGCGGAAGGGCCAGAGTGGAGCCTTGGGGACATGGTCCCATTCAACCTGGAAGCCTTGGGGGCCGACAGAAAAGGGCATGGAAGGAGATGGAGCAAGAGGGGGCCAAGCCTTTGGAGCCCAGGAGGGAGGAAGCAGGAGGGCTATGAGGGAGGAAGCGGGAGGGAGCCAAGCCTTCGGAGGACCAGGGAAACTCCCTGCCAGCAGCTCAGTGGCCCCAGGAGGACATCTTAGCCAGGCCACGCGCAAACACTGCTGGGTGTGATTCGGAGCCTGTTTCGTGGTGTTCTTAACCAGCCACTGCTCTGAGTGCACCATCAGCTGGCCTCTCTCTGTCCCCTGCCCCTCTCCACCCGCAGTTGCTGGGACCCCTCGGGAGACGCAAGCCAGCCCAGCGCTCATCTCTGGTGTTGGGATCAGGCAGGCTGGGTGATCCTGTGGACCTACCACTGTGGGACGGGGCAGTGGACGGCGCTTGTGGAGTGGGAGGGTGGTGGGCAGCGGTGGGGGAGGGACAGTCGCTGCGGACCACGTAGAAGGATCCATTGCACTGCCTGTGCCGGGTCCCAGCAGGAAGCAGGGCGGGCAGCAGTCAGAACACGGAGGGAGTTTAATGAAGGACTTTACAAGGCACCAGCTCCTGCCCCAGAACCCATGCTGTCACCTTGCTGTGAAGGAGGTCTGGGGAGGGGGCTTCCTGGCAGCACGGGGACCCCGGCTCTGCTCTGGGGGACAGGCAGCCTGCTGGGTCCCTGCGGAGAGTGAAGCCAGGTGGCCCTCACCTGGGGCAGGGTGGGCTGGAGAGGGGCTATAGCAGCTGTGGGGAGAGGGCACCCCGTGGATCAGGTGGGAGCCTGGGAGCTTTGCTGCCTGTGTCCTGGGCCCTGGCCCCTGTGTGTCTGTCTGCTCACACTGGGTGGGGGTGGGAGTAAGGGAAGCCCATGGGTCCCAGCCCTGATTCCCTATGCTCTGGGTGCCAGGCCCTGGAGGTTCGAGTTGGAGCCTCCAGCTACGCTCCCTCACCCCCGCCCCCTCCACCCCACCCACCCCCGCAACCTGGATCCTCCAGGGCAGGCCCAGCATCCCATCCTCAGGAGCTCTAGAGCCGAGCAGGGGTGTCCTCCAGTACCTCTTCTGCCTGCTTCTTGTGCCAGAAAATGTACCATCTGGGCCAGGAGAAGGCGGAAATGTGTCAATCCAGAAGCAGTGGGGCTGCGGTGGGGCTGCGGGGCTTGGGAAGGCACTTACCCACCTCCAGCTATGACTGCCAGGGAGAAAGTAGCGCAGAGGCTCACAGCCCACAGGAGAGTCTTCTGGGTCCAGCCTGAGGGTGGGGGTTGGGGGGTGACAGAGGGGCCAGCGGTTTGGGGAGCAGTCAGGGGTGTCTTGGCTCAGAGAGAAAGCCACGCTCTTTCCTAGCTCCATTCACCTGCTCAGTCAATGTCTGCAACTCCTTACTGAGCACCTACTGTGTGCCCAGCAGACTCCGAGATGAATGAGACAGGCTCTGCCTCCAGGAGGGAGAGAAGCAAACCACTGCACGTGGTGTCCGAGGGAGGCAGGACAGGGCGGGGCGGGAGCAGGAGGCTGAGGAGGCTGACGGGCCAGCCCAGGGGCGGGAGCTGGTCAGGGGAGGCTTCGTAGGAAGCAGGAGTCCTGGCTGACTTTGAAAGACAAGTGGGAATTCCATCCAGGCAAAGGGCACAGCAAGTTCAAGGACGAAAATATAAAGCTGGCCAGTGTGGCTGGGAGCCCGGAACGGGAGGCAAGCAGGGTGGCTCACACAGGGCCTCTGAGGACGGTGGACTTGGGGGAATCGGGAGCTACTGAAAGGTCTCTACAGGGAGTGCCATCGGCAGGTTGTCTCTTGAGAAAAAGGTCTTTGATTGCTGAGAAAGATGTGCCCGAAAGGGTGCTGTCATAATGCGGTGAGAGGTGAGGAGGCCCGGAAAAGAGGCTGGATGTTGGAATGAAAATATGTCAACACCTTAAAAAATCCTATCTAATAAAAGAGTAATGTGCAGATTGACCATCACTCCAACACACAATACCTGCTCCCGTGTGGTTAAAGATCCTGCTCCTATATGGACACAAGATGACCACCACAAGATGGCCACCACAAGATGGCCTGCCGGGAAGGGCAGTTGGAGGCTATTAACCCTGCAGGGAGGGCATTTAGGGGTGACCAGGCTGGCAGAGAAGGGAAGTTGGGGGCAAACAGGCTGGCAGGGGAATAGTTAGACATCAATCAGACTGGCAGGGGAGTGGTTAGGGAGTGATCAGGCTGGCAGGCAGAAGTTAGGGGCAATCAGGAAGGCAGGGAGGTGAGCAGTTGGGAACCAGCAGTCCTGGATTGTGAGAGGGATGTCTGACTATCAGTTTAGACTGATCCTGGTGGGTCCTAGATTGGAGAGGGTGCAGGCTGGGCTGAGGGAATTTCGTGCACTGGACCTCTAGTTATTTCATAAACCTTGGTGGTTCAATGGCTGGGGAAGGGGAGGGCGAGCTCTAAGGGAAGGCTGAGCTCTTAGGGTGGGGCCATTTGCTAAGAGAACCCGGAGGGAAGAGCAAATCTGGGGGTGGAGGTGGTTTGGGCCGGTCTCAGCCTGCTGGCTCTATGGCCCGAGTGAGGCGTCCGGGGACAGGCGGCTCTGTAGTTCTGCAGCGGGATGTGTGGACCTGAGGGATCTTGGTGCCACCTTCATGGTGACAAAGGAGAGCGAGTGCAGGGCTGGACAGAAGTGGCAGGCAGTGGGGGAAGAGACAACAACGACCCAAGGCGGGTGGCTGGAGCTGGACGGGCCACTGGCCACTGACCTGGGCAGAGGGTGGGGTCTCCGCAGGTGAGGAGGTGTGCTCTGCAGGTGGCACAGCTGATGACCTCCAGTTTGAAGGGTAGGGCTGCGAGAAGGGTGGGCAGGAGTCTTAGCGAGGGCTGAGTGCCCTCACCCCAGGCCCAGGCCCAGGCCCCCAGTACTCACCACAGGAGCTGTTGCAGGCTGTTGCTCAAGGGTGAGATGGTGGAGAAACTGAGGTGCCATGGAGGCAGACAGAGCCAGGCAGGGTGGGGTGTGAGCAGGAAGGGACGATGGGAGATGTGGACAGGCACCCGGTAGGGGGCAGGGATGAAGGTGAGACTGGACTCTGCTCTCAGCCTCAGGGCTGGAGGCCGGAGAAGGGCTGGGCGTGGCGGGCAGCCCCTCTCACCCTGCTCCTCGAGCTCCTCATAAGCCTTGCTCAGCCTCTCAACAAACAGCTGCTTCTGGACGTTAACCTCACTCAGGAGCGATGGTTTGTCTGGCGGCATGTGGGGGAGAGGGGTGTAGGCTGCCTGAGTCTTAGATCAGGTCGATCTCGCAGCTGTCTCAGACTGGGAATGCCAACCAGCTCCTCTAGCATGGTCCCCAGAGGGCGCCCCACACAGAGGCCGTGGCCCACCTCAGCCCGCTGCCACCCCGGGACGAGTGGGGCTTTCGGGGAGGCTTCGCGGGCCACACTGTCTCCCCGAAGCGGGCCCTGTGACACGCGGCCTCTCACCATCGCGGAACTTCCCAATGGCCCCGTCGATGTGATTGAATAACTCAGCTGCTTCTCGCTCCACATGCTCGTGCCCTGAGATGGGACATGTGAGGAAGGAAGCCAGGGGCCTGAGCGCTCAGCCCAGGCGCAGGGCCAGCCTGCACCTCGGTCTCCACAAGGCACCTCACCCAGATACCGGGGCTCCGGTGGGACGGGAGCCTGCAGGAGCAGGGCCTGGAGGCTTAGGGAGAGCTCCCGGGGCGGCCCCGGCGGCCCCCACAGGACCTGCAGGTCATACTCCAGCAGCAGCGGCAGCTCCCGCCAGCAGCGCAGGCAGCTCCTCCCGGCGCCGGCGGCCGGCAGCAGGCAGCCGAGCAGGACCAGCAGCATCTCCGGGCCTTCCCCCTGTTCCTCCACCGCTCCCAGTTCCACCTGGAACACCGGTCTCCCTGGAAACCACGTTGTTTCTGCAGAACAAAGGTAAATTCCGAAGGAAAGGCCAGGCCAGCGGTGGCAAGCACTGGGCTTTGGTGCCCGACCTGGTGCCAGATCGCAGCCCTCTGAAGATGCCTGCTCGGAGATTTCCGTGCTGCTCTGAGCTGCTCGGCTCTCCCGGTGGCGTTGCCACGTGCAACACAGCCTCCCAGGCTGGACCGGGAGCGTCGGAGGGAGCAGCACAGAGAGGGCGAGCTGGCAGGAACCTGAGCTCAGCCCCCGGGCAGCGGGCAGCGGGCACCTTTGCCAACATGCGTGTGCAGTGGCAGCAGCCTGGTGGTGGCCGGGACAGAGGGCATAGACAGCTCCCCAGCACAGTGGAGGCAGCCGGCTCTCAGCCAGGCGGGAAGCACGGTGAGCAGCCGTCTTTGGGGCAGCCATTCTGATGTGCAACAGGCACTGAAGAAAAGCTGAGGCCCTCCACTCAGTGAAGAGAGCCGGTGGGATCCTGTCACTGCCCAGTGGGCCAGCCTTGCCCTTCCATCCAGGCTCCACCCCCTCCCCAACACCTCAGGCTGGATTAAGGGCGGCTGAAAGCCACCAGGCGTTTGAGGAATACTGCTGATGTGAACAAGAGACAAAAACTATAGTAAAGATTCCAAACAGAAGCAAACGAAAACCACAGGAAAAGTGAAGGTGCAAAAATACACCGTGGGAAGCAGAAGACTACACCAAATGCCTCAACAATCAGGTAAAGGTTGCCTTTCCCAGACAAGAGAGGCTGCTATGTAAACGCAAAAGGCACGGATTAATAATATGAGTGCAGGGCCAGCTGGGGTAGCTCAGTGGTTGAGCATCGACCTATGAACCAGGAGGTCACCGTTCGATTCCCGGTCAGGGCACATGCCTGGGTTGCGGGCTTGATCCCCAGTGTGGGGGGTGCAGGAGGCAGCTGATCAATGATTCTCTCTCATCCTTGATTTGTCTCTCTTTTCCTCTCTGAAATCACTAAAAATATATTTTAAAAAGTATGATTGCAGGGATTTAAAAATTCCATAGAAGTACTGGGAGATAAAGTTGCAGAAATCCCCAGACAGAAGTATAAAAATAAAACAACAACACAGAGATGAGAAACAGGAAAAAGATGAAATTAGATAATCAATACATGCAATGTCCAGCAAACACAAGTTTCAGAAGGGAAGAACGGAGAGGGAATCATTTATAAAGACTTGGGGTGAAGAAGTTTACACAGGGGTACAGTCTAGCTTAGGGGACTGGTGCAGCAGACAGGTTCACTAGTCACATCGGAGCAGAGCAGCAGTGGAGGCGGTAAATTCTGGCTGCTCTGGTCAGCTGGGCTCTGAGGTGGGAGGACGGCTCTGAGTACCGCAGAGCTGTTGCTTTCCCACCGGCTTTAGGTGGTTTGGGGTAAGGGGTTGGCCTGCTTTGATCTATTATACTTGGGCAATGTTGGAGAGGAAGGCCCTGACTCCCTGAGCCACAGCTGGGAAAGCGGTGCTGCCTCCCATGATGCCCTGGGTAGGGTTCAGTACACAGGCACGAAGGCCTGCTGCTCACGGTATTTGCCATCTCCTCTGAGGTGGCCCCACCCACCCTGTGTGTGTGGGAGGAGAAAACAGGGAACTAATAGAAGTGAAAAGAAAGGTTTTAGAACTCAAAGGGCCTGCTGAGAAGGCATTGAGGGCTAGGGATGAGAAACAGCACACTAAAGCGCAGAGGGAAAACAGGCCATGTACAGTGGCCCAGTGATCAGAGCGTCTTCAGGCTTCTCAAGGGCAGGATAGGAAGCATTAGACAATGCTTCCACATTCTGGGAAAAATGTCCCGTCTTAGACTTCTCTACTCAATAAAGCATCAGCCAAGGAAGAAGAAAGACAGAGGCTATTTCTGTCAGGCAAGCTTTAAATGAACTTCTGTCTTTTCTCAGAAAGTGATGAAAGGATGTGCTCCAGCTAAAGGAGCAAACCATGCAAGAGAGATGATGCAATGACAGTCAGGAAAAGGAGCCTAATCCTGCAGAGGGGTGAAGAGAACTACGTGACAGTCAAGGCTCACCTCAGGAGGCGGTGCAAGCTGTTGGCTCTTCCTGGGGGCAGAAAGGTCTGGAGTGGGTGGCCTAGGTCAGCTCCCTCATGGCTTTGGGTTTCTTACTTGGGCTTTTGTTTGGGTGAAATAATGAGAGAGGTCTTTAGAGTGAGGTTTGAGGTAAAGCCCAAGAGTCCCCTTTCCCTCAGTTGATTGTTTTATTTTTTTTTTTGAGAAACCCGAGAGAAGGGCAGAATTCGGGTGTCACTTTGTGACCCAATTCCATCTCAATTCAACTGCAGCTCTTAGCATCAGTTGGATAATGTGATCCTGGCTCTTCCAAGTGACATTTAAATGTAGAGTTACAGTAATTATGGGCTGGTGGAGATTTTAATCCAACCCAATGCCTGTGGTTTACAATTCTTCACCTACTCATTTTCTAGTCTCCATTTGCTTGTCCTGATTTCTTCTCTTATTTCTAGTCTAAGTCAATTCCATGTTGTGCACTTGGCAGTAATTAGGAATTTGGAATGAATTAGTGCCAATAATAAAGGCAGCCTTTTCTTTTTTCTAGGCATTTTGTTGAGATAGTATGCATCAATTTGAGATCATATCCATCTTTTGTGCTTTCAGTCACTTGGGCATGTTTAATACCTTTGACATAAGACAGACCATTCAGTTTGAAGGCAGAAATCAAGCTGCTTCTTTTGAGGCCAAATATCATCTCTCCAACCCAAGAGTTCCTTTAGGTTCCCATCTGAGAATCTGGTTTCATGGCATGAAAAATTCTGGTGATTCACTTCTCTTACCTTCTGATCACTCTCCTCTCAAACCACCCCTGTCTGCCTTGCAGAGCTGGTGTTGTGTCCTCCTTCTTCCTCAACCAGTACAGATTTCCATGCTCACTAGCTTCCTGTTGCTACATCACTAATTATCACAAACTCAGTGGCCCGAAGCATATCCATCTGTCACCTCCTGGAGTTAGGGCTTGGCTTGCTCTCTCCTCTGCGTCTCCCCAGCTGAATTGTGATATTGAATATCATAACCTGGTCACAGGTGTGAAGCTCCTCATGCTCACAGTGGGCCTCATGCTCAAGGGGAGAAGAGTGTACGGAGTGTGTACAGAGGACAGGCATGCTGGAGACTATCTCAGAATTTGTCCTACCACACCCCAAAACCCAAATGTCTATCCTTTGGACCTTTAATGGTGCCACCAGCTCCCCTCCCCACACAACTAGTCATCAATTTGGGTAAGAACATTGTGGTGCCTCGGTATGCAAGTAAGTTAGTTGGAGGCATAGCTGCGATGTTAGTATGCTGCCACTAACTACCAGGGGTGAGTGCATATGCATATGACTGTCTCACATCAGACACCAACTACTCGCTCTGGGCTCTCAGCCCACCTTCACTTCTGACCCACTGACTACACACAAATGGGTTCTCACTGGCCCCTGAGCTTCGGTAATTCACTAGGAAGGTTCATGGAACTCAGGAGAGTAAGGTACTTAAGATTACAGTTTTACTATAAGGATACAAATCACAAGCAGCCAAAGGAAAAGCCACATGGAGAAAGTCTGGAGGGTCCCAATGTGAAGCTTCTGTGCTTTTGGGATTTGCCATCCTTCTTGTACATTGATGTGTATCAACAACCAGGAGCTCACGTGAGCCTCAGTCCCATAATCTTTATTTGGTTTTGTTATATAGGTGTGATTAAGGCTTGATTCATTGGTGATTGAACTCAGTCTCCATCTCCCCTTCTCTGTAGGTTTGGCTGATGTCATTTGACTCAAAGTCCCAACCTCTAATCACCTGGTTGGTCTTTCTAGCCTGGCCAGCCCCCATTCTAAGTCATCGCCTTAGCATAAAGCCAGCAATGAGTCCACCATATGTAGCAAAGACAATCCTACCGCTCAGAAATTGCAAAGATTTAGAAATGAAGACTGGAACCAGAGAGGAAGGCTGGCAGCATAGGAGGTCATTATTGCTCATGAACGTCTGGCTTGCATTCCCAAGGACCCAGGCTTGGTGCTGCTTCTGGGGTCTCTCGGAATCTTCTAAGAGGTTTTTAAGTTTCAGGCACACACTTTTGACTCAAAGGGACTGAGATGTGGGGATAGTAAGGTAGCAGCAGGGGGAGATTAGGGACAAGTAAAACATTACGAGGGCATCCGTCTTCACAAAGTGCAGGACCAAATTAACTCAGGCGGCACACTCTCTTAGAGGTTACTGACCTGTAAATTCTCTCCCATTGTTACGAGGAACCTTGGTGGAGAGAGGGCTTGATAAATCCAAGAGGCTGGTATCTATTTAATCAATGCCTTTACAAGAGGTAAGATTTAGCTGTTTGATTTTTTAATAAAAAAAATTAGAAAAAAATTCATCACCAGATGACCCATTATAAATAAAATATTCATTTCATTATCTTTCTGGTTAAAATCCATGTCTTGAAATGCTTTGTTGTAGCTACTTAAATGATCAATGAGGTGCCCCGGGGGATTTCTCCTGCAGAATTGGTTGGTAGAGAACATTAAAATTGCATGCAGCCACTTTTGTGATTTTAATAACATTCAGGAGAACTTTGACTGGAATTAGAAGGAGCTTAAAGTGCAATGCTTCTTCTGGGAAAGGTTGAGGACACCACCTTTGGTGTTCAAGGAGGCCAGTCAAGCAGCCACAGGACATGCTCCTGTTTGCCCTGACAGCTGGGCAGAGGCATTCTCCCCACAACCGGGGGCCATGGTCAGCGGGGTCTGCAAACAAGAAGCTCTGGCCATTGCCTGCAGCTCTGGGACAGTCCTGTTGGTCTACAGACGAGCACAGCTGACAGAATAAGCATGGCCAACAGAACGCATGGCCCCCACACTCCTCTTAGGGGTGAGCTGAAGCCCAAAAGGGGACCCGATGAGGGT